AAGATGCTCCCAAGAATGGGAGTGGGCTAGCGGGGTGGGAAGGTCAGGCTCACTAGCCTGTTTTTATCTTTTAAACCCATGTGGACTTCAGTTCATTCTTGCTGCCCTCCTGCTCCCGTCAAGTCACCACCCGGTTTCCTGCACTGGATTCTGGTCCTCCCTCTGTTCAGCCTCTTCTTCACTGGGCAGCAGGGCGGCTTGGCTGCTGCTTAGCTCAGCATCCTCAGTGCCTTCTCAGAGTGCACTGTATAAAAGCCCCACTCCAACAGTGATGGGCAAAGACACACATAAAAACCTGCCTCTGCTCCTGACAGTAGTGGTGCACGCCTTTGATCCCAGCACTCGGGAGGCAGAGGCAGGCGGATCTCTGTGAGTTCGAGGCCAGCCTGGTCTACAGAGCAAGTTCCAGGACAGGCTCCAAAGCTACACAAAGAAACCCTGTCTCAAAAAACCAAAAACCAAAAACAAACAAACAAACACTGCCTCTGGCCAGGCGTAGTCATGCCTGCCTTTAATCCCAGCACTCAGGAGGCTGAGGCAGGCAGATCTCTGTGAGTTTGAGGCCAGCCTGGTCTACAGAGTGAGCTCCAGGACAACCAGGTCATATATAGAGAAAAGGAAAGAAAAGGAAAGCAGGAAGGAAGGAAATCAAGCTCTGGTCCATTGGTTGTTACTGCTCCTTCTAAGTGAGGCAACAAGGACACAGTGGAGAGGGAGGCTTGCTGAAGTCCCTCGGGGCTCCTGACTCCCAGAGAATGCTGGGGCAATTCAAAGTTCAGTGGGGCCACTATGGAGGGACTTGCAGAGGAAGGGGACCTCTGGGCTGGGTGTGAACTGGATGAGGGAAGCAGAGTCACACCAGGTCGGGGACAGACCCAACAGGAACTTAAAGAAAGGCAGGGCCCAGATGGACCAGGGTGCCTCGGTGCTACAACTGTCTCCTCGGGCAGTAAGTGTGACACCTGTTCCAGAATTAACCACCTGAGCAGAGGACAGATATAGGTCGTGTCTCTCTTTGTCTGCTATCTTCCTTTGTATGAGTGTTTTGCCTGTACATATGTCTGTGCACCGTATTATGCAATGCCTGTGGAGTCAGGAGAGGGCATCAGAGTCCCTTAGGATGGAGTTACAGTTTGTCAGCTGCCCTGTGGGTGCCAGGCAGGAATCAAACCTGTATTCTCTTAACTGCAGAGGCATCTCTCTCCAGCCCCATTCTCTGCTTTATTTTTCTAGACAGGTGAACCCAGAGCTCAGCAACTAGGCAAGATTGACTGGCCAGCAAGACCCAGGGGTCTTTCTGTCTCCTCCTTCCCAGAACTGGGGACTACAGGGGGCACTGCTCGCCACACCTGCCTTTTTTATATGGGTGCTAGGGAGTCATGCTTGCAGGGAAATCACATTCCCAACTGAGTTGTCTCTCCAGCTTTCTTTTCTTTTTGAAATAAGGGTTCCTGTAGCCCAGTCTGGTCTAGAACATCCTTTTTTTGTTTATTGTGTATTTTTATTTGTCGTGAAACAGTGTCTCACCAGGCAACTTTGGCTGACCTGGAACTCACTATGTAGATCAGGCTAGCCTCAAACTCACAAAGATCTGCCTATATCCTGCTGGAACTAAGGGACTATGCGTGACACTGCGTATATTTGCCTTGAACTTCTAATCTTACTGCTTCTAAATCCCAAGAGCTGGGGTTACAGGCTTGTACCACTATGCCAAATTTCATTTTCTCTTCCTTGTCACAACCCTCATGGCCATCAGAAGTAGAAAGTGGGGGTGTCCAGTGTCGTCCCTCTCTCTGCCTGAGGGACTTGTGGGGTCACCAAGAAGAGTGTCTACGCCAGCTCCAGATTGACTATGGGGGATGACCCCTCCCCCTACAGCTGGGTCCCAGGTCTTCCCGCGTCTTGACTATGGGGGATGACCCCCCCTACAGCTGGGTCCCAGGTCTTCCCGCGTCTTGGGTTTGTTCTCCATACCTCGTTCCAGTCAGTGCCAGCTGGCATCCCTCATTAGAGACTGGGGTGGCATGAATATGGGGGAGGGGAGGAAGCGGGCAGGAGCCCAAGGGGAACAAGGGCCTGGATGTGGGTGGCCAGTGTGGCACCCACATCCAGGGACAGGCGGAGAAGCCTGGGGGCTTTCAGGGAAGGTGGGGTGGTGTCAAACTCTCACACTGCTCCCCAGTCCCTACCGTTTCCTTTCCTCTACATTCACCCCCTAAGCTGCCTGTGGCTAATTCTTCCTGGTCTCTTTAAGAGCTGCCTGGGAACTGGGGCACTGGAGGGGGCTGGCAGGCCCTCTCCCCTACCATGTCTGCCCTTGCTCCGCCCCTGCCGGGCACAGACTCTGCTGCAAGTCTCGGACGCCTGGGTTAGGGTCTGTACTGCTGGGGGTAAGGTGTAAAAGTGGTCTGGGAGGGAACATGATCCCTGGGGTGGGGGAGTGGGAGAGGGGTGCCATGACATGGAGCGTCCATGTGCCAGTTTCAGTGCCCCACGGTGGGGTGAAGTCTGTCTGTCCTGCCTCTGCAGGGCTGGCAGGGCATCCCCGGGAATTTTTAGGGACGACTCCTCAGCCACAGTTTGCCTGGGTCTCTTTACCCCGCTCCCAGTCTCATTTCTCCCAGGGACCTCCATTTGCTAAATTCCACTAGCTACTCACTGTTAGCCTCATCTTCCTACAGGTGGGAAAACCAAGGCTAGGCAACCAGAGGAAACTGAATTCATTCATAGCAGCAGAGGCAACGGCTTTTCCCTTTCCTCCTGTGAGCTGGAGACAAGAGAGCCGGGTGTCGGGCCGTTCAGTTGGTTCCCTCTCCAACCACGGCCACACAGGAACTAAGAGCCCTGCTGTCATGCTTGCTTAGCTTAGCTCCAGAGTAAGGCAGGGAAGACTGGGACACCATGGAGCCAAGGACACCTGTAGGCTCCCCCTTTCCTTAGATCACTGTGGGAGGCAGTCGCTTCCAATCCTGCTGGAAAGACAGGACTCAGCTCCCCTAGGAGTGACGGTGATGGTGTTAGGGAGTCAAGGACCTCGATGGGGATGGGTTCTTCTGCACGCCCCCCCCCATTTCCTCAAGTGCCTGGTGTGAATGGCAGAGCATGTGGACACAGGCCCCAGGCCTAGGGACAGTGAAGGAGGAGGTTCGGAAACAGGAGCAGGCGAGTGGCCCTGCTGAGCCCATGTCTACCCTCAGCACACGACTCCTCCCCATCCCACCCTGGAAGGAAATGCTCACCCCCATCTTTCTTCTTCTTCTTCTTCTTTTTTTTTTTTTTTGGTTTTTCGAGACAGGGTTTCTCTGTGGCTTTGGAGGCTGTCCTGGAACTCGCTCTGTAGACCAGGCTGGCCTCGAACTCACAGAGATCCGCCTGCCTCTGCCTCCCGAGTGCTGGGATTAAAGGCGTGTGCCACCAATGCCTGGCTTGCTCACCCCCATCTTAACCTAGACCCAAAGGGAACCAGGAGTGGCCTGTGAAGCCTCCAGCCCTGCCTGGCCCCTCCAGGGCACTCACTTCCTTTTTCTTAAAAGTACTGTGGAGTTTGCAGAAGAGCCAGGCTGCTCGCAGGTGGCCTGAAGAGCCCTTCTTTTACTTCTGGAAGTCAGAGAGGGCAAGGGCCCAACCTGGGTCATGCAGCAAGTCATAGACTGCCAATCTGGCACCAAGGACCTGGTTCCTTAGACCCGTGGTGCTCAGCGGGCAGTCCTGGACTCCTAGGAAGCCAGCCTGCAGGGTCTGTCCTAGCTCCTCACTTTCTTGAAGAAGCTGAGGTCCTGAGGAGACAGAGGAGCACTGGTGACAGGGTTGCATGAGAAGGGCAGCTTCTAAAGCCCCACCAAACCCTGCTTGCCTGTGCTGCTTTCCAAATGAGAACGAATCCAGGTCAGTGTTGTTTCTAATCTTCCGTTCCCACTTACTGTTCGACCTTTGGGAAGTTCCTTCTGAGGCCTGCCTCCTATCCACCTCTTACAACAGACCTCAGGTCTCAGGGGCATTAATTGAGGGCTCTTGGAGACACCATTTTCTTGTAAGGTGACTCAGGAAGATCTGCCTGAGAAGAGTAGCCCCTCTCTCAGAGGTCAGGGTATCAATGAAGATGGTGTCCTAAGCGTCTTGATGGAGATTCTGCGTACACGTCTGTGATTGTATGTATCCTCACTGGTAAACTCCAGTTGTCAGTGACTGGCTAGCATCCAGGTGCATCATCCTCATCCATTCTCAGTACTTAGGGAAGCTGGCTGTTAGGGTATTGCCTCAGTGGTCCCCTAAATTCAATGCCTGCACTCTGGTACCTGCCTGAGGGTGGCCAAAGGAGCTGAGCAGGGACCTGGGGGTTAGAGTGTCTCCCCTTGCCACATCTGGAGTCCTGCCTACACACTTGAGAACCCAGGAGTCACACAAGTGGGGCACAGTGGGACAGGAGAGGAGGAGGAAGAATATGGGGAGATTCTAGTCCCTCCCACTTAGAGATGCGGTCGCCATGGTGACTAAGGACCAGTGAGGTGGGATGGGGTTGGGGATGGGGGTGGGAGGGTGGCGGGAAGGAGGCACTGCGAGACCGGAAAGCCAAGCCGCCTGGCATTCCAGGGGGAGGGAAGCACGGTGGCGGCGGCGGCGGCGGCGGCGGCATCCCCGGCTCCAGGTAAGAATCGGGGAGAGCCGACAGACAGTGCGGAACAGAGGGGCGGGCCATTGTCTGGCGCTGACTCTGCCCTGAGGAGGGGCAGACAGAGCAGTCAGACCATTGTGTGTAATGCTCAACGCAGCTTCCAGCACTAGCCAGACTGGGAGAGGGAACCCAAGAGGCACTGGGTAAGGGGTTAGGTGGATGGAGTGGGGTGGGTGGTAAGAATGCCGGAGACCTGCAGCGTCAGGAAGAGGTGGGCTACTGAGGACACAGACCGGGACATCCTTAGTGCGTGCGTGCGAGCGTGCACACACACACACACACACACACACACACACACACACACAGAGTAGACACACAATCATGTAAGTTGATTTGACTGACTATAATCATTAGAGAAGGGGCAGGGCAGTGGGTTGAAAGGCGAGCAGGAAAAGGATACCCCCAAGACCCCGCTCTCCCAAGGTTGCCCTCAAGGCTAGGAAGAGAAGGAGCTTGGGAAAGCCAGCGGTGGTTTCCGTACTCTCTCAGGGAGACATCTGTGCAAGGCTGTCGCTCCAGAGCAGCAAGGGGTAGGGTGAGAAAAATCAATCCTCCAGCATGTCTCCCTTCTCACCCCTGCTTCCCCTTACTTTTGGTGGTCAAGTCTCACAGGGAGGCGCTACTCTCCTTTATGGCCTAGGGGTTGTGGGGAGGACTTGGGGGGCTGGAATCTGACAGGGAAAGTTTAAGGTTAACGCCGTGGTTTCCAGGTCTGACATGCCCCTGGGGATTCCCCAGGCTGAGCTCCAGGCCTCATGATGGATTGAACTGGAAGGACGGGAATGGGGCAGTGAAGATGGTATTTCCCTCTGTAGACTGCCTGCTGCCTGACGCCAGCCAGCCCTGGCCCAGATGCTTCCGGTCACTGGCCTTGATTTCCTCATTTGCGTAGCAAAGGAGGGTGTGTGGATTACGCTCCCTGGGAGCAGAACCTGCTACATAATTTGTGGGACCCAGTGTGAATGAAAACGCAGTCCTCTTAAAAAAAAACAAAAAACGATGAGAACTTTCAAGATAGCAGGCAGGAGGGTATGCCAAGCGGGGCATCTTCTGAGGACAGGGCCGGGTGTGACTGTACCTGTGAAGTCCCAGGGAGAGGGAGCTGCTGTGGGAGCCATGTACCCCCATGCACCCTTCTCCCACCTGCCTCTCCTGTAAGCTTGACCCGAAAGGCAGGCGCTGTGAGGAGAGAGTGGGTGGGACCCAGGGACAGGAAGTACCTCGACTGAGGTTGACATCAGACGGCCTGTCTTTGAGGAGGTTTCTGTTCCTTCTGAGTCAGGAATCGTTCCAGAGTGATTGTTTCTTGGCTGGAGGAGAGGGAGCCCCTGGTTCACTCCACTCTGATGCTTATGTCGTCACCCATTGATCAGTTCTGAGCTGAGTTAATCCGTCCACTGGGGCAGGAGATGGGAGCCAGCCCTGTAGGGTAAGGTTCCCAAATACACCTGTCTGAGGTAGATGGGAGGCTGACTGGACAGTGTCCCTGGCCTTGCTTCCTTCTCTGTGTAAGAAGACTAACCTGCCTATGAAAGCTGGGAGGCCTGAACCCCAGCCCAACCCCTCACAGTGGGAGAAGGAGAGCCCTGGGTCTTGTGGGAGGCCCAGGGATAGGAGCAGGGTAGAGAGGATGGCATTGGATCTGCTCCTCTGGCTTCCCCTCTCATGGCTCCTCCCTGTGACCCAGATAGGCCAATCTGTCCCCAAAGAGAGGCCCTGGGGTGGTGGCTTCCCAAGCCCGAGCTGGGGGTCAAGGAGACTTAGATGACGTCAGGAGAACAGAGAGATTGGCAGAGTCCCGACAATCCGCATCAGGGCTTGGGGGAGCTTAGCAAATTTTGACAGACATAGTCCTCAGGAGGGGGTCTGTGTGAGCCCAGCTCCTGAGCCATGGCAGAGGATGGTCACAGGAGGGGAAGCATCAAGTGGGCTCCACTGTAACTGAAAGGGAGAACCATCCTGGCAGTGAGAAATGTGTCTAGGATGGAGATGGGTACTTACTGCAGATAGAGCAGCCTGGGTCATTGTGCTTTTCAGCCTGAAGTCAGCTGACCTGGGTGAGTGGGCAGGAGCCCAACCACTCTTTATTGGCCTAGGAGCCCTTGATGCCTCATTAACCCTGCATTACAAGGTCTTCCCTGAAGCCTTTAGGGAGGAAGAACCAGCCACCACCATTCCAGCTGGGTGCCTCATCTCCAAAGTGCATCCTATGAAGCATGAGCTCAAAGGGGAAATTCCTCAAGTTTCCCATTGGCCTGATGCTGTCCTAAGGGTGGGAGAGGTTAGACTGCAGGAGGGCGGCCTCAGCAAAGCCATAGACACAAACCTAATACAAATGTGGGCTTCTTGTTGTGGTTGTTGCTCGTTTGTTTGCTTCTCTGTGCAGCCCTGGCTGTCCTGGAGCTCACTCTGTAGACCAGGCTGTCCTGGAGCCACTCTGTAGACCAGGCTGTCCTGGAGCTCACTCTGTAGACCAGGCTGTCCTGGAGTTCACTCTGTAGACCAGGCTGTCCTGGAGCTCACTCTGTAGACCAGGCTGTCCTGGAGCTCACTCTGTAGACCAGGCTGTCCTGGAGCTCACTCTGTAGACCAGGCTGTCCTGGAGCTCACTCTGTAGACCAGGCTGTCCTGGAGCTCACTCTGTAGACCAGGCTGTCCTGGAGCTCACTCTGTAGACCAGGCTGTCCTGGAGCTCACTCTGTAGACCAGGCTGTCCTGGAGCTCACTCTGTAGACCAGGCTGTCCTGGAGTTCACTCTGTAGACCACGCTGTCCTAGAACCCAGAGAGATCCACCTGCCTCTGCTTCCTGAGTGCTGAGTTTAAAGGCGTGGCTCTAAATGTTCTTCCTTTCAAGGATGTAGGAGGTTCGAAGGTTAGGCTCCTGTAGCCATTTCTCAGTAGGTGGCAGTGGGGGAGCCCCTCTGCAGAGTCAGTGAAAAGAGGAATCTGAAAGACAGCGTCATACTGAGCTGTCTTGAGCAAGAGAGACCGCAGCTTAGGCTGCTTAGAATGGTGTGCTAGAGACACAGGGACATCACTCAAGTGGCCCAGAAGAAGCCCATAATTTCTGGATAGACTAAGTGGAGGCAGGTTGGTGTGTCTCCCACAAAGCCCGTGAACCTCCCCATCACCGTCTCCCCGCCCTGATCACCGTTCACCAACTTCCGCCCAAGCCAGGATCTGTCACAACTCGAGGTAGAAATTCTGGTTTCCCTGGCCTGGAACCCACACTGGCTCTCGCAGGATGGGTGCCTGGAGGGCCGTGCTCCCATTCCAGCCGGGCTGAGCCTGCTTTCTTTGCCCGGACCCCCTCCTTTGCCTTGGATGCTTCAGGGTTTGAACGCAGGACTTCTCAGTGTGGCTGGCTTAAGGGTATGTGAGATAAGGTGGGCAGTTTGCCCTCTGCGGTCATGGGGGAGGCTGATGCTGCGGAGACCCAGGGAGGCAGACAGCAGAGGCACAGAGACAAGGGAGGCCGCAGAGGTTGGGAGTCTGCCAGTGACTCCTGCCTAGGCCACTCCCAAGAAATGCAGCCGGCCAAGCTGGCAGATAACCTGGCATGCCCCTACCCTGAAGAAGAAGGCTGGATAGGCCCTATTAAACCAGAGTCAGAGCCCCTGGGGGCTGGGGAAAGAGTAGGCTGCCTGTCCTGCCAGGGTTGGGGTGAGTAGCAGGCACAAGGTGTAGGCACAGCTGAGTGACAGGCCAGCCTAGGGATCTACCCTTTGAGTACAAGATCTAGTCCCCCGAAGCCCTTTGTCCAGGGCCAGGAATGATGGGGCTCTGGGCCATGGGGGCAGGAGATGCTAAGGGGCAAGAGTGGGAAGGGACTTTTCTGTGTGTCAGGTGGAAGTGACAATGTGGGCTTTTAGAAGGAGGAGACCCGAGGTGGAGCATGGGTCACACCAGGGCCCCTACCTAGAGAGAAGGGGGGGCGGAATGGAAGTGAGACTCTGAGGGCCCTTCCAGAGAGGAACTTCTGCCCCCTGGGGCTCTCCTATTGGTCCTCAGGAAGGGTGTGGTTAGCACTGCTTACCCAGAAAGTGCCTGTTTCCCCAGAGCCATCTGGTGACAGTCTCTGTCGGACCATGGCCCTACCATCCCCGGGCCAGGACCCCTGGAGTCTCCTGGGTGTTTTCTTCTTCCAACTGCTCCTGCTGCTGTTGCTGCCACCTGCAACAGGGACTGGAGGGCAGGGGCCCATGCCCAGAGTCAGGTATCACGCAGGTGAGTGTTCGGTAACTGGGAGGTATGGATGTCAGTGCAAAGACGAAGGGGTGGAGGAAGGAGAAGGGGCTTTCAGAGAGGGCAACGGAATGGAGAGACAGAGATGTCAGGGAGCAGTGGAGGTCCTGGGAGGGGGGGGGAGCCCATTTCAGGTACAAATTGACCAGGAAGAGAAGACAGGGCCACTGCTGCCCGTCTTCTGCCAAGCCAGTGATTTTTCTTGCCCTCTTCAAGTGTCACTGTCACCAAGCAGGGCACCTTAGAGTCCTGACTGCTTTCACAGCTCCAGGTGTCCCAAAGCCAAATCCCATGAGTTTGTCCGTGGAGCTGGAGACTCCAAGCCAAGCGCAGAAATCATACTAGGCCATGTTGTATCCCATAGGATGGGCACCAGGGGAAGGCGCCCTGGACAGCTCACCTGGGAATGGGCTGGAGTCTGGTGCCCAGCCTCAGTGGTTTCCTGCTGGGGCTTCTGAACCCTCTTGTTCTAGGAAATGCCCCAAGGGAAGTGCCACACACACACACACACACCACCACCAGCAGCGCAGAAGCTGGGCAGTTCTGTTTGCAGCTTAGCAGCCTTCTGAGGCAGAATGGCAAAGGAGTATAGGATGGGAGTGCAAACACAGCCAAGCCTAGGCCTCAAGAGGATGCAGGATGAAGCCTCAGGGTGCAGAGCACAGAGTTCAGACCAGAGCAGTCCACGCCGTACTGAAACACTTGGTTTTCCCATTCCTCTTGGTCCTAAGATTCCTTGAGGACATGGTAACAACCGGCTGTCCTCTGACTGACACAAAAGTCCAAAATGTGCTGCCGAGGGAGGGTCTGAAGCGCCCACTCTTCCTGGCTGATGGGCAGGAGCTCACGCATTCGCATGTGTCTGAGCGCACACACAACACCACACTCGGTAGGGAGCGGCCCTAGTAACAGCATACTCAGCCTGTCCAGGTGGCATTCAAGCATGCCCACACTGACGGGGCTTGGACAGGGAGAGGACGTGGCCTTTCCAGTCACAGCGTTGCTAGTGGTGGGAGATTCCCACAGCAGAGCAAGGGGAGGAAACAGGGGAAGTGGGGGTGGCAGGACTCTAACTGTGACAGGTCTTGAAGCAAAAGTCACCTGCTCGGCTGCTTGTGGTTGAGCGCCCCTTCCTGTGTCTACCTGTCAGTGTTCTCTCCCATCCTGCCTCACTGCGGCGAGCGCCCCCGGGCCTGAGCATGCATCTCCTAACCTCACTTCCTCCCGGTGTCTTGAGCAGGGTCCCCCTTCTCCACCAGCCCCAGGCTGTCACTACCTTGTCATTGCTGCTTCTCTCTTCTGGGGACTCATCACACAAATCTCAGATGCCCGCTGCTGGGGGTTCAGGGAAAGGGGGGCTGCCGGGAGCGGGTCCAGCTGCCGAGGCCTGCCACCCCTCCCCCGCCTCGTCTCAGGAATCAGCTGCACGCATGTTCCTCTTCATCCTCTTCTTGTCACTGCCTCTCAACAGGAGACGGGCACAGAGCCCTCAGCTTCTTCCACCAAAAAGGCCTCCGAGACTTCGACACGCTGCTCCTGAGCGCCGATGGCAACACTCTCTATGCCGGGGCTCGAGAGGCCATCCTGGCCCTGAATATCCAGAACCCAGGAATCCCCAGGCTGAGGAACATGGTGAGGAGGCCAGGGACGAAGGGTCTGGCTGGAAGTGAGGACGGCCGCTGCCTGGGACCAGCGTGTTTCGTGTGAACCGCCAGCTGCGGCTCTCTGAATCAGCAGCGGCAGGATGGAAATGCCGCTGTGCTCTCTCTCTCTCTCTCTCTCTCTCTCTCTCTCTCTCTCTCTCTCTCTCTCTCTCTCTCTCTCTCTCTCTCTCTCTCTCTGCTTACCGAGGCCATGAATACCGATTGAGTAGACTCAGCCGCTGAAATGGCTGACACGGACATCACTGGCATAGGAGGAAAACATTGACTCAAATCAGTGACTCAAATAATTTGATGTGCACCTACCTAGGAGAGAAATCTGAGATGCTTGTGCTATCATCTCCCTAATGACAGCACTGAGGGGGAAACAGGGCAGGGGAGGAAGGAAGCCATGGTTCATGGATTCTCCTTGGTGGTCTCTTGGCTATCTGCACGTATGGGGTGTGGGTTAAGACTCCAGAGTCTTGGACTAGGAATGTAGTTCAGCGGCAGGGCACTTTGTCTAGAGTGTGGCAGGCCCTAAGTTTGATGTCTGCAGCCCTCCTATGCAGCTTCTCTAAGGGGGGCTCAGGAGCTGACAGTCTCCCCCAGGAAAGGTGTGGGTGACGGCCACTGCTGCGTGTGTCAGACACTTACACATGCCATCTAGGGCAACCACCAGCAGGCTGTGAAACTGAGCCAGATGGACAGTCCTCGGGCGGCAGAGCCTAGATTTGAACTCAGACCCCCCTGGTTCTACCACAGAGTAGTGTGGGAACGGCAGTCCTAACCGCCTGGCATCACGACTGCCTACCAGAAGGTCACTAACCACCTTCCTGGGGTTTCTACACAGGAGCTGGAGAGGGGAGGGATGGCGGCTTTCAGAAAAACCAAAGACCCCATTTCCTTTCATCTCAGATACCCTGGCCGGCTAGTGAGAGAAAGAAGAGTGAATGTGCCTTTAAGAAGAAAAGCAATGAGGTAAGTGGAGAGGAGGCAGGGCTTTGGCCACAGAACCCCCGTGTACCTAAGACCATCACTGGTGGCCCGAGAGGCAGGCACAGGAGGGCCTGTCCCTGTAACTTTTGCCTGGATGGTGTCTTGTCAAGTTTCTCAGTGTTGATCTCAGCTCTTCTCTCTCTGGGAGTTGGGGGGTGGCCTCTAAGACCTGAGGAGTTTGGGGTGAGGGGCCTGGCAACTTGGTTTCTCTGCTTCCCCCAGACGCAGTGTTTCAATTTCATCCGTGTCCTGGCCTCTTTCAACGCCACCCACCTCTACACCTGCGGGACCTTTGCCTTCAGCCCTGCTTGTGCCTTCATTGTGAGTCCCCGACACCCCGGCACCTCCTCTCACACCCACCCCCGCCTATTCTTGGAAGCTTTGGGAGTTGCTGGCCCCTGAGGACCCTCATAAGATTCCTGGCCCCATCCAATGTCCCTCTCCGTCCCCTTTACTCCCTCCCTCATGCTCCTCACCTATGAGATGTGCGACCCTGGCATTCTGGGCTCCCAGCCTCTTCCCCCCTCTAGGAACTTCAAGATTCCTACCTGTTGCCCATCTTAAAGGACAAGGTCATGGACGGGAAGGGCCAAAGCCCCT